AGATGAAACGGGGATTGTTTATGATAATCATAGTAACAACTTACATTTTTATGATATCACTGACCGCTCCCTAGCAACTGAACTCTTTACCCTAGCAACAAAATCTTTGCTTAATGATGAAGAAATGGGGGTTTGTTTATTTTACTTATTGTGACTATATTATTTCACTGACCTCTCCATAGCAACCTGACTCTTTACAATAGCATCCAATTTGACATATGAGCTAAGGAAAGTCAGACATGACGGTTGGTTTATATTAGTCCTATTGGCATGGGGAACTTTGTATGATGTCAGTGACATCCATAGCAACCAAAAATTGTACCTTGGCAACCATTCCACTTTGCTTACACAAATACTTTTAAATGCCATTTTTTCAAGCCACCATCTCATGCAGAAACTTTCTTCATGACATCACAGTTTCATAACTAGATTAAATGAGATAAACATGAATCTCTACAAGAAGTGTTAACTTTGCGTACCGGATAACTGGAAAGTACCAAACTGCAAAAGAACTGTCCCATGAGTCCACAGATCTCCCCCTAAACCAGCAATGTTTAGATCAACAAAGAGTGCAGTCGAAAGACATTTTCAGCCCAGTGCCCTTTAACCAGGCAGCTGAAGTACAATGAGTCTTATTCCATCTTTTCCTCGTGTCAAACTCCCTCCGCTCCAGCGCCTGTTGTGATGAAGATTCCTTCCACCACACATCCCGGCAAAAGGTGTTTTCCTAATAACAGAGTTTCGCACAAACACTCTATCTGCTCAACCGGCATTAGTTAGGCTTTGGGGTTCAAGTGACTAAGGGGGTTTAGAGATGGATTTAAAAAGAGGAGAGGAGAGAGAGGCGCTCCGTTGTTCTTGAAAAGCTGCATTTATCCAGGATTAGAGACACCAACATGTTAATAATTGTTTCTGAGAGAACTGCGAAGAAGCACTTCCTCTGTAATCCCCTAATCAGACATTACACCTCTGAGCATGCCCGCGACTGAGGCACGCCAACCACTTGCGCTCACTCACTTTCCCAGCATCCACCCTGTCTCTGACGCCCACTCGACTGCGTAGACACAGAGTTTAGGAGACAAACGATGGAGTGAGGCTGGAGCAAGGCAAGATAATTCTGGGGACAGTAGCTTTAGATGTGTGTTTTGGATTTTTGTCGTGTTGGAAAAGTGGCACCATCTTCTCCTTCAGTTGAGTTCATGATGCCATCAATGAAATGCAGCTCCCCAACACCAGCAGCACTCATGCAGCCCCACATAATGACAGCCACCAGCCATTTTTCTTTAAAACCTCCACCTTTACGATGGCATACTATTTTAAAACCATTACTTTCAAAAACATACTATAGAGTCCCAGTAGTCTTTATCTTAATGGGCCCTGGCAGGGTGTGCTTTTTTGTGCATGGTCTTAAGGAAAGGCTTCCTTCATGGACAATATCCTTTGCCGTGTGCGCCGTATGGTGTCAAGGGGAACAGAAACTCCAGTTTGGCTTTCTACTGCTTTAGCTAGCTGCAGTGAACTTGCAGCTGAGGTCTTCTCCTCAGAAGATGCTCCAGTCGAGATGTTAACTTCTGTGGACATTTCTGACCAAGAGGGGTAACCCATCCCATTACTTCCCCTACTGCATGCCTAGGTTGGCAAAGGAATAAGAAGTAGACCATTCCAACCTTCTGCCTGCAACACCAGTTCACCAAATCAACAAAGGAATTGAAACTTTATTTTTACATAGGTGTCCATGTCAATTTAGTCTGGATATCAATAAGTGTTTTACGCACAACATATGTGAGATGAGAGGCAGTAGATGGAATTCTAGTTCTACTCAGAGAGAAATCTGAACAGAAGAACTATATGTTGTAAGTTGTAGTATGCACTGGAGTCTCAAAGATCAGGGACCTGCATGACGACTACTCATGAACAGTCTTCTGTTAAGGGTCATCAATCATCACAGGTGTAAAAGTCTGTTTGCTGTTTACCTGAGAACCCCAGACAACTAACCGACCGCTCATATCTTCTTCAATCTCACACTGTACACAAACGTTGAATGGCATTGAAAAGAAACAGAAACTTTGCGAACAAATTAAGATCTCCCTACAGTTGCTGTGTTTGATTAGCCAAAGGTGTAGCTCCTACATGATCATAATAAACCATTGAATCTTTCACAAAATATGTAAGATTTTTGTATTTCTTGTAGCGGCATCTTGCATCATTTAAAAAATTCTGCTTTAATGACGTAAATCCATTAGCGGCATGAAATCCTCAAATTGGTATCATAATATTTATGAACCTATTGTCAGTCTTTTGGTTATTTATAATCACTTTATCAGCCTTTGTGGTTTCAGTATACAGAGATTTACTTTTGTGTTTGCTTCATTTCATTTTATTCTTTTGTGTAGATGCATGCAGCTCTCATGGCATTTCGTTTGTTTTGGGCCGATGTGTGATGGTGCCCATGGTTTAATATTATGTTTAATTTAAAGCGGGTTGGAGCACGAAACATCGCAATGAAATTTCTGGTTGATGTGAATGGGGCCTTTACATTGTTTCTACAAGGAGGACTGCAATACCTTAGGTCTGCCAAGTGATGGCATTGTTGAACACAACAGGGAGCTGTGAACAACTACTTGCTGAAACAAGGTGGGTTCAGCAGTAGCTCAGAATCATTTAAAGGGCCTGAGTCAAGAATTTTGACCAAGTCAAACTTTGATATTTTGAATGCTCCAGACTTTAATACCCTAAAAGAAGTTGGGCAAATTTTTGTATTTCTTGACCACTTTCTTGAAGCCTTTTATTATCAAACAACTGTGTTTAACCATTTTAAATTATAATGACAACGGATACTTTCCATATGACCCTGATCTAAAGTCTATATTTGTATTCCCCCTTTAACATTGATGACAGCAGAAGTCTCTTGAGGTAGTTGTTGTTGGGGTTCTTTATCTTCTCTGTTGATAAAGCAGCCCTTTCTTGGGAACAAAACCCCCTCAAACTCTGGATTAGGGGCATTTGGAAAGTTTCTGTTGTCGTTATAATTCAAACAGTTGTTCAAGGAATTTTTTTTTTCAAGAAATCAGAAAATTTGCCATGGTTTGTAAACTTATAAGCACAGCTATATTCTGATACCAACATTTAAACCAAGCAGAAGCTGGGGTTTTTATTGCTAAACATGACACTTTAATTAAAATAACTTATTCTTTCTTTCCTCTGGAAACCGACCACAATCTACAGAAACACCGTCCAGACACTTTCCTATCACTAGAGCTGCTCATGGTCTATTGGGCTGATCAGTTCTGCTGAAGGCCATGCAATAAAGAGAGTGGGTCATGAGGACTTTGTATAAAGGTCAAGGAGGTCATCAAAACACCATTCCTCAGTGTCTGGGCGGTCTTAAGGTCAATGAAGCTCTGAGGGTTGATTAGCAGTGCATGCTGGGAGAATGACAGTCTCTCTCTGCGCCGAATCGAGGGTCTCGGACCACCGGCTGGGCTGGAGGTCAAACGTTAGCCTTTGTGGTTATGAGGAGCTCTTTATAGTGCCATTCCGAACACGTCAAGACTGCAAAGCTCACAAGTTTGAAGTTAATACTGTTGAAAATAAAAATCACAGCATGGCATTCTAAAGAGGCCATTGACTGTAGAAAGCATCTGTGTCAACTGTTAATGCTTTAAAACAATAGCATGCTTGTTTCGAGGAGCAGGTGTATGCTATTGTTGTTTTTTATTTTATCATCTGCCTGGACTTTGTTTTTTTGTTCTGATTTTATAACAATGCCATCTCAACGCAATAGGCCATTGTTGACTTGGTTTCACCCACTGTACGTGTCTTTGTTTTTTTAATGTGCCACTGTTGTTTTTGCGCGGCCATTGTTAATGCTGAATGTTGATTGTTTGTGGTGCATGGAGGGGGTGGGGGTGGGGGGGTAGAGAGTGAGTGGCGGGGACACTGAGGGATTAACCTGGCAGAATTTAATTAGTGGGGCTGTTGTCTCTGCCCTTAACCATGCAATCTCCTCCAGCAACAGCTTGGCCTGTGACCGACAAGTCTCGTGTTTGGGTTGGGGCGAGGGGCGGGGGTGGGGGGTACAGGGTGCGTATGGTGCAAGTTTGAGTGTTTGTGCGTCTAAGCGTTCCTGTTATTACACTAAAAGGAACAACGGATGAATTCGTGTTGTGTGTTTCTCACTCCATGGTGAATACCATCAAGCCAACTACACAAGAGACATCATCAAACCCCCGATGAGGTCTGTGGCCGACAAAAAAAAAAAACACATAGGTTTTAAAATTCAGCCCCTACCCCCCACACCATGCTGCCTGTATTGAACGTGTTGTCCAGCGCGTGGGTTTAAGGGCAATCATTGGCAGATCTGAAGCTGACACTGTTGCATTGTAATCTTGATGCTAAGCCTCCCATTAACCCATCTGGGGTCCAACGCCCCGCATTACCTCCCCAAGTACACACGCTCACACACACACACACACACTTTTGATGCTGGTCATGTGCGGGAAGTGTGCCTGTACACATAAACACCTGCTGAGCATTACAGAGCAATTAGTGGACCACATCTTCCATAGAACAAGAGCAACGAGCCCAACAGTAGCTTGGATCTGGAGCCAGCGAGGAACCGGACCGTTTAACAGATACAGGAAGCACTTCTGTGTGAAGCAGATGATCTACATCATAATTACTACAAGGGTGGAGGATTTAACACAGCATCTATGGCAAATAATAAATGTTAAACATGATGCATTTGGTGACGTCCATGCTCCTGATTAACCAGGAATGTATTTGAAAAAAAAAATATATATATATATTTTACAATAATAATATTATTTGTTGCCTAAGACTGTTAGCCCTTTATGTTACTATAGATAAATCTACTAAAGTTAACTATATTTAGATTTTTGTCAACTTCTGAAAGTTTGCCGAAATGCTAATATAGATTTTGTCATAATTTAATATATTTCACTCAGCATCGCATTAAATAAAAATAAAACAACAACTACTTTCCTGTGGCTCAGTTAGTAGAGCATTATGCTAACAACGCAAAAGTCATGGGTTTGAATCAGGGAAAGCAACTCACACACACACACACACACACAAAAATTGTTCATTCATTCAAATGTACGCCACTTTGGATAAAAGCATCTGCCAAATGCATAAATGTAACCATACTACTATAATAATACATTTTATTCGGAGGGGACTTTCTACTACCAATACTACAACTATTAATATACTTTATTGGGAGGAGACTTTTACTACTACAACAAAAATAAAATTTATTATTTCGGGGCGGCTTTTAATTCCTGGAAATGTCTAAATAATTTGTGTAACATTTTTGTTTACAATGCACATTTATATACTGAAAGAAATTCCTTCCTATCTTGAAGGATACTAGTATATATATATATATCTTTGGGTTGAGATAAAAATGTTACATATATATTTCAGTATTGTTTATAAATTTATAAAACAATGCACCATATCTCTCTACTTTAGAGATCCTGTTTTTTCCACCACTATCCAAAATAATGGTAGATATGATTCTCAATTGCTCCCCAACAGTCACACATTCAACTCCTAAAGAAGCTTCAGTTTGTTTTTGGAAAAAAAATGACAGAACAAACAGAAATACGGAAGTTGATGCCACTGTGCCTATAGGTGCTCAGTTTCTTTGACTGCCTGTGGGCAATAACATTGGTATGCAAAGTGTTAAAAAAACCTGGAATGTTCTGCACAGCATCATTCTAGCCAACATCCCTGCAGTCAAGTAAACAAAAGTGAGGAGTGGACGAATGGTTCATCAATGTAAGGCTTACTAATAATTACACAAAAAAATTTCCATTAAAGAGACTTTCCAGTTTTAACATCTAGAACAGCCTCAGAAACGTGCAAACACACTCACCTCTCACTCTGAACTCCTAATTAGAGGCTCATTAATAACCTCGGGTGGTTTTGTCTTTTACTGACACAGTAGGAGACCTCACCTGCCTCCCCTGACGTCACTGGTTGCAAAGTGGTAGTGTACCTCGTGACATCATTTCCAATTTTTGAATTAGGATTTTGATTAAACCTGTTGTGTTTCACAGGTTTCATTTAAATAAGTTTAATTACAAACAAATGTTTAATTAAACTCCAAAAATCTGAAAATTCCATCACTCTGTGAATCCACCTCCTGCATCCTGCCTCTAGCGCTTAGTGACAGCAGTAATGGAACCTCAGCTTCACATTGACTTTAAATCAGAGACTTAGGACGTGTAAACGCTGAATATTAATCCTCTTGTTTTTCAAAATGTTGTTTGTCTGTTTTCGATTAAAAGACGCTCTGCAGCCCCCTTTAACAGCCTTACTGCCACTTTTCTATATCTACATTTTTATTACCATGAAAATAAGAGGTATAAAGCAAGTAAATGGATGCCTTGTTTGTTGGAAACTAGGCCAAAGGAGCACTGGCAAACAGAAGGGCGGCTGTCTGGACGCTTGAACGCCACAGAGGAAACAATAAACACAAACAACTCTCACTAGCAGCGAAAGTGGAGTTCTAGTACAGTCTAGACAATAGTGAAAACACAATGAGAGTCCAGAAGGACTTTAACACTTCCCTTCTCGCCTTTGCATACTGTATGATTTCAGAACAAAGCATTTTTGTCTTTTAAATTCAGCATTTTTTTCTTTTTCATGTTACGTTTTACCATTTATCAAAAAGGCCTCATTCACCCTTCTAAAACAGTTACAGAGTTTCTTTTATTTTTCTCCAAATCAATATTTTTTCATCCAATCTGCTGTAGCCGAAGACTGGTCCATTCGTAAGATGCCTTTTTCAGGGTTTCTCCACAGGGACGCCACAGTGACCCCTTGATCTTCAGAAGCACTCCCCCGGGATGCAGAAGTCAATAAAAATGCTAGTGGGACTAGATGTGCAGCCAAGTGGACAATCACCTCAATCTATAGACACGCACATGGTACAGCCCAATGCATCTACCTGCTTTAATTCTGTCACTATTTAGATCTAGATAAAATAATTAGAACTGGTGAGATACTACAGATCTATCTTCAGGTTTACTGCATGAATGTTACTGTTCCTGACAGATGTTTAAACAACAATAACAGATGGTAGAGATGCTTTGACCCTGATACAAACTCTTGCTTCTTTCCAATTCTGACATTTTTACCCGCCACAGTGAACAGGTCCCAAATAACATCCAAAAATATTGTGAAACTTTTCTAGGTTTTCTACAAATGTGATGTCTGCCTTAACCATTAAACACTAGATTAGGAGAACTAACAAATACTGGTTTCCGAATGGTCACAAAAGTCCATATTTTGTGGTTGTTGCTTAAAAAAAAACCCAGAATTTTCATTTCAAGTAAAATTTTAGCTTTCAGTTTGGCTCATTTCAGCTATTGCCAGCTGGGTTTTGTTCAGTTTCTGACCTTTTGATGGATTTAATTGCTGAGGTGTGTTCAGCTTTCCTCGTTTAACTTAATTAAAAACCCAACTATCACCAGTGCCAACTCTGTGCCACAGCAGCGTCCAGCCCTTAGGTTCAGCGTCCTCGTGTAAAGACGATCGACTCTACTTGTGTGACTCCACTGAGCAAAAACAGTGAGGCAACACATAGTAAGCCACTTATTGTATCTTGTACTTCACCTTTATTTACTTTTTCTTTATCATCTGTCTATTTTTCTCTTTACTAATATGTCTTCAGTTCATCCCTGTTCTCTGCTCAGCTCGGCTTGCCGTTTGCGTAACTTCACCCACACTTTTCCATCTGCTTCACACATGCCATTATCGGTCTCGGTGGGCCAAAAATAAATTGTTGTTTAAAACAATTTTTTTAAATGCTTGCATTGTGACTACAAGTGCTATAACCTTTACCTGATTAATCACCGATTTTACCTGAACTAAGCTACAGCTCATCGGTTCCTAGGGTAAACAAACTGGTTTCTGGGGAGGAATCAGTTTAAAAAGTTACCCTCCTCACTATGAGTGATACATACCAAGTCACATGTCAATGGTATTTTCTGAAGCTGAAATATAGATCTGCGAATTTGGTTGCTAGGGTAAAAAGTTTAGTTGCCATGGAAGAGACAATGACATAATATTATGTGTCACCCCATATGATTGCGTAATATAAAACAACTCTCATGTCTCTACCATTTACCAACGTTGAGATTTGGTTGCTAGGGTAAACAGTTTGGCTAATAGGAAGCAGTCATTGATGTCATAAAAATGTTAAGTTGTTATTATGATTAACATAAACAAACCCCCATTTCTCTATGATGTTTCATCTTGAACATATTTTTGGTGCCGATTTCCATTTATTTTCAATGGCCAATAAAAGTCAATGGTTAACCTCCCCTCGCGCCTAGGGTTTAAATATATTCACACAGTGCTCGGTTTGTTCTGGCACAAACTGGTAACCTCCACAAGTGTGGCTTGAAGTCTCCATGAGGTTCTCCATTTCAGTTACAGTTTGATCCCGTGTTAAGTCAATGGTAAATTTCCCAGCATTCTTAGCAATTTCCCAGAATTTCTTTAGTGGTACAAATCTGAAAAGAGGTACTGGGGAAGTTTTGTGATTGTAGCTTGAATGGTCTTGGAGGAAATGTTTAGAATTGTTTTTTCTGAACTAAAAAACAAATAACAATATGAAAAGCCAACATAAAAATATAAAGATTTACAAAGTGACTCTTATAAATACAAACTATCACATGGAAAAGCAAATAGAAAACAAAACTTTTAACATTTTGTTAAAGTATAACCAGAAATATATACTTTACCTATAAAAGATTTTCAGGTCTGATCAATCTTCTCAATTTAATACAAAGAAAACCTTTACCGTCAACATTTTCCTAATTCACATTTCGGTTTTGGGTGCTGAATCTCTTAGCTATGCGGAGAAACCAACAAATAATCCACAAATAAACAAGCCCACACAGCTGCTCTGTCACATGCAGATCACCCAGAGGTCCAGCCAGGAACTTTAAACCCCACCAGCTTTGCTTCATAATGCCCTCACCCTCCACCCCCCACCAGTCAAGTTCCACATTCTGCCCTGGTCTATGTGACCCAGCCTAAATGGCCCTTTGTCTGATCAACACAAAAACCAGTGGCTGAGTGTCTGGTGTGGCACGTGCTTTGCTTTGTGCTCTGAACAGGTGCCTACAGACTCCACAGAGCAGAGGAAAAAGGTGCAAACGGACAAAACCACAGGAAAGTGAAAGCTGTCAATCAGGCCTGTTACTTGGCAACTTGTTGACCTCACAATTCTAACATGGGCCCTGGAGACCCAACACTCCTCTCAGGAGTAACTCTTCCTTACTTCTCTGTTGGCTTCAGAGGTACAAACAGCCCAGAGGTATCTAATCACTATGGAAACCGCTGAGGTGCCTGAAAGAAGGTCATCAGGGATTGGCTTATTGGTTTTAAACAACATCTGACCGAGAGCTGCTTCCGCTGGGATTTGAAAATAAGTCCCAACAATGGCTGAAGTATTTTTATGTCTTTTTGAAATAAAAACAGTGTGGTTAGAAGTCAATCTGAGATTGACAGAAGCTTTTTCAACCTAATAACTTAATAAACCCTTTTAAACGACAGAATATACATATTTCAACACTACTTGCTAACCCTTGGCCTCTTTAAAAGTCTTCAAGGACTTCCTAGAGATGTTTGTGTTCACTCAGGGGTTCATCGCACGTCAAACCATCCCAATCCAACCATTGTGAAGTTGAGGTCATCTAGCTAAGCCCTTATTCACTCTTCATCTCTGTCACATTGCCCTTACAAAGCCTAGAGGTGTTTATGGGGTCATTGTTCCATTTAAAAAATAACAACAGTCCAAATAAACGCAAACTGAATGGGATGGGATCATTGGCTGTATATTCCCCAAAATAAGCTAAATATCCACAGAGGTGGGTGTAGAAACTACACAGACAAAAAAATTTAAAGTAATTCGTTGAAAATGAAAAGAAACCTCGAGTAGCCAAGTTCATCAGATGAAATGACCTGGAATAAACGAGACAGGCTGAAAGAACTGTCAATCATCTGCTCCTTGAGAAACCACGCCCCT